TTTTTACGAAATTTTAACAAAAAGTGATAAATCATTACATGGCAACAAGTTACACGTGGAACCCCTCCCTTTTTCCTTATCTATCTCTTCTCTGAGTGCTACAAAAGCCTCTTCGGGCTATAGTTGTCCCTCAGCGCATAATTCTCTGTCTGTGTTTCATACCTTTCTATAGTAGTTTGTCTTAGTGGGCAGTTCGTCCTGAACGTCGCTTTTGGTGGTTCACAATAATAAAATACTTTATATCTAACGTCTTCACCAGCATAACTTAAACCTTGATTTGCGAAATCTTGATTTTTCTGGCTTTAATCTAAAAACATATAGGCAGGAAAAGGGGATGTTCTGACAAAACTTTTGTCGAAATAACTCGAATTACCCTCATTTGTCCTCAGAAACGTCCCAAGCAACAGTGCTAGAGTTGTGTGATTTTCTGGATTCTCTTTTGGACGTGGCTGTGACACTTCCTTTGCCCTTGTAGATTAAAAATGTCATTTCTGTAGTTATTTGTCACATAACTTGGTCTCGATGGTGTTCTTTCCCTCCTTTTCCTCTTTTCTTTTGTTATGAATGAGGTCAGAAGTCGACTTTATTTCGGAAGATTATCAAAAAATTTTCAGGCAAATCGAAACACTGATGAAATGTGAAGCAATCCCGGAGCAAGATGTGAAATCATTATGTGCTAAAGCACGAGAAATTCTTCTACAAGAAGGCAACGTACAGGTCGTCGATTCGCCTGTCACGGTATTTTTTTTCTCCTAAATCTTTTTTTTTTTTTTGCATCATTATTGCTCCACTTCGGTACGATGCCTACTGCTTATCATCTTTTCGAAGTGCTTAAGATGATTCGCTTTTTCGTGGTATAAAATTGATTGTAGCTGTGTAAAATGCACACTTTTATGGAAAGAATCATAAATACAAACTTGCAGCTCTCCTGGTACTCAGCGAAACTCATAACCAAGACACTAGTAGTGGTTACTGTGCTATTAGATTGAATACAAAACACGTCTGTAGCTAGAAACGTGAATGAATACTAATATTTGACATTATGAAATAAAAGAAGTAAGAAAAGGCCGGTTTAATTTACAACATTAAAATTTAGCTCGTTTCATGGTCGAGAAGTGAAAGCGTTCGAAATAAAGAGACAATGCTGGTAATGTACAACTTAGGCCGTCTCGAAACAACTAAAACCTTACAAATGCTTCTATTGAGTGAATCACAAATTTAAACTATTATTCGCTTGAGGAAACGAAATGAACATCAGATATCATGAACGGAGCTCTTTTTCAAAAATTGCCCTGAACCGGAAGGCAATCAAACCACTCCTCTTCACGCCTGAGCACAAGTATTGTCACTTCACCACCGGTTCTAGTGCTCCAATTTCAGCCTGACAGCACATCTGCTGTGTATCTGCTTTCAAGACAAAATACACCCGCACTTTTTCTTTGTGGCGGCTTCTTGGCAACTTTTCTTGGATTTTCCACAGCATCAGCAGTGTCAGCTGGTTGACCATCAGGTGATGTAGCATTGGTCAAAGCAACTGAAAAAAATTGCTTGTTACGTGGCTGGATGTAAGTTGTAGCTGAACCGCGTATTATAACTAGCTAGAATTGTTATTTGCATGCTGTTGCTTGAATTCGGTGCATTTAGATTTGTGGTGATATCCACGGTCAGTTCTACGATTTGATGGAATTGTTTAGGGTCGGTGGCCAGGTCCCTGACACGAATTATCTTTTCCTCGGCGATTTCGTTGATCGTGGCTTCTATTCTGTTGAAGTAAGCTCATCGCAAGTGACTGCTCAGTGTTTTATTCGTTTTTAAATAACTTTATGCAGAAATCCACGTAACTTTGCTAATTACATCAGTGAGAAGCGTTTTTGATTCTCACCTATCTGCAAATACCTCTTCGTAACTGCAAAAAAATTTTCAAATTGTCAGGGGGGGG